TCTCACTCTAAATACTTGCTCTTTCTGACTGCATCGTGAACATCCAAGTGGAACTTCCACAGGAAAGCTCCAAGGTCTCAGGCTAAGTGGCAGAGCACTTGTCCAGTCTATAAAAGGCCCTGGGTACCTTAGCAACAAAACCTTAGCAACATCTTTCGTTCTTATTTATCAGCATCATCTCCACCCATCACCATTTGCTCCCAACTCCTATATCCAGGGGGTCAGGGGAAATGCCTGGATCTCTACCTCCTTCTTCTCCTGCTTCCAGCTTTATCTTCCCTGGAATTTCCGTGTTATTTTCATCAGTAGACCAGTTCTTTAGATCTGGTTCCATGTGCCAGGCTCTTATTTACCAGTTCCTTGGCAATTCCATTAAGGAAGTGACTGGCCCAAGAAGGCTGATTGACTTAGATATGGCAGTTAGCCATTGCTTTCTTCCTTGCCCACTTGTCTCCCAAAAAGCTTTCCTGAGTACAGTTTCTCTTGAACTCCTCCTAGTCCAATAAACTTTCCACCACCTATTTCTTGCTTCAGTCCATAAGCCATTGACTCCAAACTCTGGGGCCTAAGTCAGCATCAGGGACTCACAATTAACCATTCAGGGACAACCCACAGTATGGTCATTCACACAGGTCGAGAGTCAAAACCCACTACTCAACTGATACAATTGACTTGGCTGAAGACCTCTGCTCAGAGAGCCCAGAAGTGAACTCTATCTCTGAGACAGAGAGCTTTGCCCTGCTCCATTAAAGCAGTTTTCTCATGACCTGAGAGTCTATGTCATATTTTTTTGGATTCAATCACCGAGAGGTGACTCCATACAAATAACTTATATGTACACATTTATGTAAACATACACACACTCACCAGAGACTGGTTTGTTAACCTCTGGAATGCAGAGACGGGATCCAGAAGTCCTTTCCTAGCTCTTAACGTTTGTATACATTTGTGTATACTCAAATTCTCCACATTCCCCTTGCCCCTCTCACAAGCAGTCCACAGTGCATGCGATTGGTATCTGTTTGTAGAGATAAGGGCAAAGGAATGGAAAAAGCAGAGATGTCCTGCAAGATAAGAGTGGAAATACTGAATCATTGTCACACATACGCCCCATATCCTTCCAGGCCGATTCCCAGAAGAATGAGATGCTACGAGTTGGCATGGGGCAGAGAAAGCCTGGCTTATGAGCAAGCATATAGGAGAATGTATGAGTGCACATGAGTTCAAGGTTGTGTGGTGAGCTGGAAAGCTTACTGTCACCAGAATGGCTGCTCAAACAGCCACATAGAGCTGGTTGCTGGTCACCTATCCCAGGACTTAGAGGCTCACACAGGTAGATTGCCATGAATTCAAGGCCATTCTGGGGATATATAGTGAATTCAAGGGCAGCCTGGACTTCACAGTGAGACCCAAAGTTAATGGAACAAAAATAAACAGAAAACAAAAGAGCAGCCATTTAGAAGTCCGTGTGTACTCAGGAGAGGAGAGAGAGCATTTACACAAGAGGGTGCTTGAGACTATGCACCTGGGTGAATTTGGAAGAGTCCCATGCACGGATGCACTCAGTGCATGAATACAGTGTATGACTTCAGTCCATGAATATAGCGACTGGACCACGGCTTGCTGACCCATGTTGGACTACATCTGGCTGGCTAACTTCTGAGAGCCTTCCCAGTGTCCAAGAGACTTTTCTAGCCATGATTTCTTCAACTACTGCAGACTGCTTGTGGGTAGAAGAGAGTTGTTATCACATGTGAACATATGTGCACTGTGCGTGTATGGGTAGAATGTGGAAAGACACCCCCACCTAGCACTATCGTAAAATTTTACCAGATAGAAGCTGCAATTGAACTTCACAACACAAGGTGGAATAGTACAGTATATAAGAGAGACTACACTTGATCAGCCTGTGTCCTGACTCCATCCATGACCTCGGGCACATCACTCCTCTCCTGGCCCCAGTTTCCTCATGAGTATTTTGGAAGGGGAAAATAGATGACTTTTAAGGGCCTTTCTATAGCTGATACTATGTAATTACATACTTACATTTTAAGAGGATGAAAAGGATCAGACAATAGGAAAATGTAACCGTCTCAAAGTCACCCAGAGATGATGACAGAGATGGAGCTCTACCTCTCAAACTAGTGTCCTCTAGGCACTGGTGTGTTCTACTTGACAGACAGAGGCCTCATGCCTGGGCTTATTATGCACACAGCACCTAGCTAGGTGCTGGGGGGGGGCGGCAAAAGGTCACAAAGAAATGGTTAGCCCATCAGTATGGAGATAGGGTCTTATGCATGCTGATTGCACAGAAAGGTGGCCATATCTACCTTCCTGGCCCTGCTGGCTTCAGGGGAGACACATTATAAACTGTATATTGACCTTATTTCACAACCAAATGCATTTGCCTAGGCTGCTCCTAACTGAGAGAAACCCAAAACAATTCTAAGACTTGGACTGGCCCCTTGTACCTCTGTAGTATCCTTTGCTTCTGAATCACCAGCCTTCAGTTCCTAAATGAGTCAGTTCTGTCGTTAGACTAAAGCAGGGTCAAAGTAGAGAGCTGAGGGTTAACAGTGACAAAGGAATGGACAAGATCTGAGACCCTAATCCTCACTCTCCAAACACAGAATAAACCCTGCCCTTTGCCTTGCTTGCTCTTAGTGCACTACTTGGAAATCCGCTTTGAGCAGGACAAGCTCACTGAGTTTCTTTGCGCTGCCAACACTGTCAATATACTTCAGGTCGGTAGGCTGTGGCTCAGAAAGCTCATGTTCTAAGGCGCACAGCCAAAATGCATGCATGAAGTTTGTCTGCTTTTCTCTTCCTCCTCCTCCTCTTCTTCCTCCTCCTCCTCACCTTTTCAGCCAATCAAAAGAAAACCTCATGGAGTATGGAGTTACTGGGGCTTGGCTTCCGTATCAAGGCTACAAGAAGGCAGGATTAGATGATTGGCAGGGTCTGCCAGTTGCATCGGGCTCTACACAGCCATGGGTCACCTTCAGGCAGCCTTTTCATAGCTGTGCGACTGTGTGTGGGGAGGCCTGACTCAGAACAGCAGCTTCCTCGGAGCAGGCTGACAGATCCAGAGCACCCAGCCTTTGACTGGCACCTTAAAGCAATAGCGTTGGAAAAGGGGACAGGATGCCGGGCGGTGGTGGCGCACGCCTTTAATCCCAGCACTTGGGAGGCAGAGGCAGGCGGATCTCTGTGAGTTCGAGACCAGCCTGGTCTACAAGAGCTAGTTCCAGGACAGGCTCCAAAACCACATAGAAATCCTGCCTCGAAAAACCAAAAAAAAAAAAAAAAAAGAAAAGAAAAAGAAAAAAAGGAAAAGGGGACAGGAGGCTCAGGTTTAAGTGTGGATCTGGCAAGCTGCCTCTTAGCCTTGCGATCTAATAATGTGTCACTTTGTATATGTAAAGATCACATATGACAACAGTGCTCCTGCCTTCCCTGCCTCTGTGTGTATGTGTGCAAACATTCTTACACATACATGTACATGTGTGTATATACACATGTAATATTGTACTGTACTTAATTTTGTGGATATGCCTGGATCTGTATATCTTCATACATGTGCTTGGAGGGGGTATGTAGTTGTATGTGCATGTTTCTACTTAGTGTTTTTTAACCTTCCTGACATGGAGACACTTTAATATAGTTCCTCATGTTGTGGTAATCCCCCAACCATAAAATTATTTTCACTTTTAATTCATAACTGTATTTTTGCTAACACTATGAATTGTAATGTGAATATCGGTATTTTCTGATGGTCTCAGGTGGCTCCTGTGAAAGGGCCATTTGACCCCGAAGGGGTTGCGACCCATAGTTTGTGTACGTCTATGTGTATATGGCTGAATGTGCACACACGCACACATACATGCTGTGTTCATGGGCACATGCATGCATGGAATCATATATGCTTCTTGCATCTGGGCTGGAAACCTCTGACCTTCTCTTTTCATTTCGGTAGTCTAGTGTTTTCGAAGAGCCTGTCATGAATCAGGGGTGTTTGCTGAGAACCCTGGGCTAATGAATACAAAGGGTTATGCATGCAGTCAAGTGAAGCACCTAGCATGGTTCACTGATGGGGTAGCAGATGGGCCCTCTCAGGCTTCAAACCCTGAAGTCACCTTAAATTCACCTTTCCTTTTTCTTTATTATTCTACCCAACTCTTCAGCAACTCCTCCCTGCCCGTACCCAGACTCGCGGCCATTGCAGCAATTTCCTTCCTAATCCGTCTCTCCACTGGGACCCTTCCATGTCACTCTTGCCTGCTGGGACTGCTGGAGTGCTTCTCCTAAACCCATCCATGCCTACAATTGTAAAATCATCTCCCCAGGCCCTAAAAATACAGACCCTCGACTTCTGGATTTCATGGGTAAGAGTAAGGGTTTTAAAACATATAGGGAAACAGTGTCACAATATTTAATTTTGCTGAAAACAGACAATAAAACTGTTCTCAATCTTATTTTGTAAAAATAAATATCGTTTGGGCGGGCAGTGGTGGCTCACGCCTTTAATCCCAGCACTCAGGAGGCAGAGGCAGGCGGATCTCTGTGAATTTGAGGCCAACTTGATCTACAGAGTGAGTTCCAGGACAGGCTCCAAAGCTACTTGGAGAAACCCTGTCTCAAAAAGTCAAAAAAGAAAAAGAAATATCATTTGAACCATAACCCCATTGGAAAGGTTCAATAATTTCCAAAGAAAGACTACTTCATTGAGTTGAATTAATATATATATATTTATATAATATAATATATAATATATATATTTACAAAAACTGAATTGCCTTTGCTTTTCCCCAGTTCTATTACAGATAGGCAAAGTTATCACTAGAATACCCCTCCCCCCAGTAAAAGAAGACCATAGGCCCCCACATCAATTTCAAAGTCTTTGAGGAGTAGCCCCATCTCCTACTCTCTTTGCACCTCTCTTCCAACTCTTCAGTTGATCCCCACCATGAATTCTTCCCCTTCTCTCAGCCCGCCGCTACCACCAGCACCACAAGCACCAGCGCCAGCACCAATCCCAGCACCATCAGCACTAGCGCCACCACCACCAGTACCAGCACCAGCACCAGTACCACCAGCTCCAGCACTACCAGCACCAGCACCAGTACCACCAGCACCAGCATCGCCACCACCAAAACCAGCACTGCCACCATCGGGACCAGCACCAACACCACCAGCACCAGCACCATCGCCATCATCATCAGCTCATGTACCAACTTCCAGACTTTCTACCCTCTGCCAATTATTGCTCCTGCATTTTCTGCCAAGGATGCCTGGGATTCCCTGCCTCTCTGTGTGGAGTGACAGGGCAGATGCATTTCTTCCTTCCACCTTCAGGCTCAATCCAGATGTGACCTCCTGTGAAATCATTCCAAGTCCCTCTGGGTGGACTGGAGTTTCCTTTCCTAAGAGCCCCAGCAAGTCTTCCATCCTATCTTAGAGTAAGGCCAGTTGCTCAAAAGTCTTGCCAGCAGACTGTACTTTGAGGAGCCATATTATATCAAGGAAAACACAGACTTTAGAGTACAGATGCCAACGCTGCCAGCCATAGCTGGGTACTGGTGTATCACTTTGTCACTTACAATGTCTCCTCTACAACTATCAAAGAGGGAAAGTACTAGATAGTGAGGAAGATCACCCAGGTCTGGCACAAGCAGATTTTAAATACACATTAGTGTCTTGGTACTTAAAAGAAATCTTGCATTCTGCATTCCCATGGATTCCGCTGTGCGCCTGCATTTCCTGTGACCAGGCTAGCGTAGGCCTTCAACAGACATATAGTGCCTGCCTACCTGTCTGTCTGCCTGCCTGCCTACATAGTGTGTGCTTGACCCGCAATGACAGCTAGATGAACATCTGTCATGGTTCTCATTTCCTTTTGAAGGATACAAGCCACACCCTTTTAGCCCTGTGTAGCTCCCTGGTACCTGGGGCACAATAGATGGATTTCAATGTTAATAATAACACACACACCATTACTTATGTGGATGGCACATGCCAGGCATCATGCTAGAAATGTCACACCTTAGTCCTTCGTGTTTGCAAGTATTTGCTGCTATGTGACCAGGAGCAGCAGGCCCTTATTGTCCAAAGCTGGTTTAGCTATCTTAATTTTTAAAGCTGGGAGAGGGAAGTTCAAAGAGCTCATGTATCTTATCTCTGTGGGGCAGGCTTGGGAAGAGACAATCTGGAGACAAATTTTCTGGTGGAAAAATAAAGAGCCACCTCACTTACTCGTTTCCATAGGAAAGAAGTAGAAGTTCAGAGACTCAGTTAAGTGACAAGGGGTGAGGGTTGAATCTAAGCCTCTCTGGCTCCAAGAGCCTTAGCCAGTCTCAGAAGCTAACCAGGCCTTCCCAGCAACCGTGCAATGGGCTCAGCTGCCTGCTTCTCCCATGAGCTGGGGCCCTAGCTGGGCTGCAGCTGAACAGACACTTACCTTGACTTTCCTGAAGCAAGCCCAGAACACATCCAGCAGAGGCATGGTGGGGTGAGTGAAGCTGCAGGGGGCTCAGCAGGACTCTGCTGGGCCTGAACCCTCTATCTAGGAGGAAAGCAAAAAGAGCCCCGGGGCTCTGTGAGAGCCAGCCCTGTCCCTGCGCTCCATCAGCGGCGCTGGGAGGGGAGAGGCAGACAGTGGCAGCCTGCTCAGCTCAACAGCTCAACAGCAGGCCCCTTCGGGAGAGTGAAGGGAGGAAAAGACTGGAAAGAGGGAAGGAGGGAGGGAGAGAGACTGGCTAAGGAGGAGGGACCAGGAGGCGGGCCACTGATTCAAACTCCGCACAGTTAGCCAGTTGGCTGGGCTGAGCAGCGGACACTGATTGAAATTCCCTGACTATCACAGTTCCCCAGCCTGGGTTTCCAGACTGTCTACTGGCTTACATGCTCATCCTGCCACCTGTACGTTGGTACACTGGCCAGCTTGCCTCCTAGCCTACCAAGGAACACACATGCTATCCCTGGCGGCTCCAGGCACAGCCAAGACCACAAGCGAGCTGTAGAGTGCTGGAAAGGACTGAGGAGCAACTCCTGCCCAGGGACCTGTGAAGGCAGGCGGTGGAAAGGGAGAGTCTGTGGCTTTGGACACCCTTCAGACAGGAGCTCTGGCTCTACATCAGGGTGGTCCTTCTCCAGCCCTGTTCTAAAGCCAGCAATCTTGCCTAGGTCTGGCACCTTGCAGAGGTCATTGCCTTCTGGATCTCAGTGTTCTTGACTGGGCTGTGAAAGGCAGGGTTAGGGCTTTCATTCTCTGATATGACTCTTGTTACGGAGTGAGGTACAAGGCAAGGCTGAAAAAACCCTATTGTGGACAATTACATCTCTCAGAATTCCTGAACTGCCCCTTGGGAGTCCACAGAAAGTCAGACCACACCCCCTAGACAGAAAAGGCTGTTTCATCCATTCCCCTGCCTCAGGGCAGAGCGGCTCTCGCCTAGCTCACATATGTTGCATGTGTATGTTTTAATGAACAGCTTCTGAGAGAAGATGATGTCTCTCCTTAATCTGCAGCCATGCCAAGAGCCCTTCAAGTCCCCAAATCTAAACTTCAACCTTCTGGATGTTATGAAGTCAGTTCTAACAGCAGTAACGGAGCAGTGGGCAGTTCTGGAGGCTTTCTGGGCAGAAAGCCATTTAGAAACAGTGATCCTTCCGCACAGCACCCACCCTTCCCCAGACCTCAGAAGGCAGGGTGCCATGGCTGCTGTCCAGAGTCCCCTGGGGACCCCATGGCACAGAGCCAGGCTTGGGTCTCTGGGGGAAGGGCATGTCACCATGAGGCCCAGAATAACTTACTCTCAGTGGCCTCACTTCCCCTTCAGAGGCCAAATCGGTCCGGCAGAGGGCCAAGTCCTAGGACCCTGAAAGGCCCCATGCCTGCTTTGCGCATGCTTCTGTCGGCCTTTGAGGACTTTCTTTATCCGTGGTTTTTGTCCTGAAGTTTATTCAGAGAGTCTGCTCCTAGATATGCTTACAACTTACCTGTGACCCTCTCTTTTCCCGTTTATGTACTGAGGAGTCTGGGGAACTCTTCCCCCACCCTTTCCCCAGCTCTAGTCTGAGAAGTAGCTTAGATAGAGATCTGCTGGGCCAGGTCAGAAAGATAGCAACAGCTAAGACCGAGTGGCTCCTTCCCAGCCACCTCCAGCTGAGTGCAGGCTTAAAGGGAGAAGGTCCACTGCATGGCACAGCAAACCAAGGCACAGAGAAAGCATCTCTTTGAATATGGACCCTCTGTCCCTCCAACTAGAAGCCTGAGCATGGACAACTAAGCAGCAACTGCTATAGGTTAGGGATTGTGGCTGCCCTCGATGATGGCCGTAGTCCCTTTTCCCCGGAGTTTATCTCTGCCTTTAGATTCAGCCCCTGGGAGGAAGTAGAACCTCTGTGGCTTTGGTATTCAGCAAGCAGTAAGGCACAGCGTTCCACACTGGCCTTAGAAAGCCACAGGCTTCCGTTTCAACCCTGACCTTCCACATGAGTGAAGCCTTGAAGTGGCCAAGTCCATGAGCTCCAGAAGTAGACTGCCCAGATTCCAACCCAGCTCTGTTACTCGCTAACTGGGTGGCCCTAGGCCTGCTGCTGTCTTAGTTTTCCCATCTGTGCAGCAAAAGATAATAAGAACACCCATTTTGTTGGGGAGTTAAACTGATGGAGTTACAGGACTTAGGACTACGACTAGCATAACTGAAGTTCTCAACACACGTTATTTGTTATCAGTGAAGAAGCCACTGCCTTGAAGCCTGGCAGACTTACATCTTGAATCTGTCTCTTAACACTGTGCCTTTATCAGAGCCCCATCCCTCCTCTAAGCCCGGCTGTGGCTTCACACTTGTGCTGTTAGGAGCTAATGAGATAACGTGTTTGGTTTCCACTGAACATTCTTTAAATGCTAACCCCTTCCTCCTTTTCCTGTCCTAGATGCTCCTGATTCCTTGGCCCTGAAAGGGCAGTGGCAGCCTTGATTTATCATCATCCTTACATGAGTTCAAATCTAACCCCATCTACTTTGGGTTGTGTGATCACCTTAGAAGGGACCCCCGGGTTTCCTGGCTAAGCTAGGATTCTAGAAATCTCTACCCATCTCCCAGGGCTGTTGTCGTTATGAACAAGGGAGCAAGCAGGCCTGATATGAAGGTGTGTGTGTGGGGGTCTCCATTACACAAGTTCCCAGTTCTTCTGCCCCTCTCCATACAAATGAGGGCTCTTAGTCCAGGTGGGTCTCCACTACCTGGCATTAAGACCTGCTATGATGGGTAAGTGGAATAGGCAGTAAGCCTTCTTTCATAGGGTGCGGGATGTGGAGATTGTAACAGAGAAGGTAGAAGGGGAGTGCCTGAAAAGTTCTGCCCCGGCAGCCAGGAAGGCTGCTTCATCAACGCGCATCTTGGGACTGAACTCTACAATTCTGCGTATAGACTGTGCTGTGAAAGTGTGTCTCCCAGTAACATCAGAAGCTACACTAGTAAAGACTCACCCTTGACTGCCCCAACATGAGCTGAACAAGGAACATATGAACCAAACAGACCAAGATACATGGGGGAAAGCCCATGAAGCCTCAACACTATACAAAGAACTATATGTGACTCAGTAAAACTGGGAGCAGGAGAGGTGGTTGTCCCCAGGGAAGAGCATACCAATTAGCTACTGGGTGCTAAATGGTCAGCCCTGAAAACGTGCATACAAGTAACTTTATATGGACACACCAGGATATATTTGGGAATACATATACATGTTATATATATGAATACACACACACATATATGCATGCACTAACAATTAATGAAAAGAGAGACCATAAATTTAAAGGAGACCAGGAAAGTATAGGGAGGAAAGGTTTTTGAGGGAGGAAAGGGAAGGGAGAAATGTTGAAATTAAAACACAATCTCAAAACTAAAAAAGGAAAAAAACACTAAAAAAAAAAAAAGAAAAAGGGTATTTTTAAAGAAAATGGTCCAGAGATTCTTGAACCGCGCTTAGAGACACTGTTGGGGACTGCGGCCCTTAGACCCTGAATTTTCTATGACCCCTTGCCTGCCAGAGTAAACAGTTTGTTTTCCTGTGCTTGCAGCTGCTCTGAGCATGAGACCCTCATGAATTCCTGATGGTAGCAGAGTGGTTTCTGGTGGACTTGCAGCTGGAAAATCCCGAGAGCTAGGGCATGGTCATTAGTCAAGGAGGGCCCTATATAAGCTGC